TATATATATATACACATCACTGTAGGTATATACGTACATACAACTCTACTTGCATGACTATCTTTCGTCCGCCGCAAGACCTCTCCGGAGCGGCAGGCAGTACGATGAGCTTCCTAGTACAAAACCAGACTCTCTGAAGTGCAAGTTTGGGATTTAGGGTTTTAGGGTTATGTTGGTTTTTCCCATCCCACTTAGCTTGGACGAGCCCGTATGGCAGGGTACGTTCGGATATGTCTGACTTGCAAACGGGGCCAAACCAGTGCCAGCGCCTCAAAGGGGCATTGCTGACATGACCATCCAATCAAATGCTGGTTTAGGGTTTGAGGGTGTAGGGTTTAAGGTTCAGAAGAAACCCAGCTTTCCGCATGTCCCACATGGGAGATTCAAAAAACAAGGGACAAGAGACCCCGACATAAAATAGAACTACGGCGGCCGTTGAACTAGTAGAATCCACGGTGTAGCGACCCCCGTAAACGAAACGGTACCCCAACCAAAGAAGAATAAATAATGTCTTGCGCAGTAGGCCGATCTCAGATCTCTGTCTATCACCGCGAAAATTAACAAATACCAGTCATGCAACGACCATACGCAGATTGGCTAATGACCGAGGACCCTGCCCATCCACAAACACAGCGTGAACCCTAAACCCCAAACCCTATGTAACCCCTGAACCCTGAACCCCAATCCCTTTTGCTACTCAGGAACGTTGGTCCAGAAGATCTGCTCAGCGAGCTCATGCTCCTCGGCTGCAGTGGCGTTTCGATGCGTCTGATGTATGTTACATGAGATTCAGGGTCTCCATTGTTAGGGCTCACAGGGTGTTAGATCTTACGACTTGCAAGGTTCGGTATCATACTATCTTCCTCTATGCTGTGTTATGTTATATTACCATATACCATATCGTACTCCATTGTATTAAATCACTTGGAGATATACTATACTTATTCTAGTAAGCTTTATTATGTGTTGCTATATTCTGCATTTAAATACTACACTATGAGGTCTGATGGTATGGTATACTGTGAGTATACAGTACTATACTATACTATACTAAATTGCAGCAAATTGCGGATTGTTTTGCGATATTGTAGTTACATTACCTACATTACATGATAGTACATGAACCTGTATTTTTCCTGCATTCGCCCCAACGATCAAGCCCCCTCTTAGCCAGTCGAGCCGAGCCGCCCCCTCCCCCCCCATTCCTCCGAACCCACTCAGTGTGGGCAGTCGCCCACCTTCCCAACCCTCTCCACCCCAAGCCTGCCTGCACCGCTCTGCTTCCGTCTCTCCCCTTGGCCAGGGGGAGGCCGACGATGCGAAGAATTTTGGTCATACTTTGAGATCATCTATTCTATTTTGTCAAACTCTAAAGCATTATATTCAATTGCATTATATCATAATACACCGTGCTATATATGCTACTATACTATATTTCGTTATATTATAGTATGCTATACTCTGTTCGGCTATGTTGTAGTATGTTATACTATACACAGTTGTAACGTATGCTATTACTTATTCAGAACAAATTAAGTCTAAAGGATATTCCAGCATGTTACATGATATTGCTTGCCATTGTGTTTTATTGTACCCCATTATTGTGGACCATGCTGCAAGTCTGCTGTGGGACAGTATAATACAACATGTTGTGTGATGCTTGTACTGTACTTGACTATACACTAGACCAGGCTATGCCATACTATACTACATTTAATGACTGTATTATACTACACAGTTCAAATGAATTCTATACTCTACCGTCCATGCTAGGATTGGGGTCTCGGGCTGTTGCCCCGGTTTGTGCTTAGCGCTTTACCGTCCGGATTGCCCAGCACTGTGCCAGATACTCTTCGCACTCTGTGGCTTTCTGCTGCCATGACGGCCCGCTGCCGCTACAAGGACCTTGAATCCTGAACAACCCTGAAACGCCGAGACGCGATGGTCGACTCAAGTCGAGAGGATCGGGGATATGGTATGAAACCCGGAGCAATACAGCGGTGACAAGATTGAAAGGAAAAAAGCAGGCATCATCCTCAAGATTTCGCAATCATGAACAGAAGAACAGCACGCGATCTTCAGAATAATAGAAAGCGTCCTCCATTGTAGCACCTGTCCGTAAGCCCAGTGGCAAAAACTCCGGCTACACCTCGCGAGGGTCCCTTCAGGAAGGCCATCGCTGTCGCTTCGCGCGCCTCGCAGCTCAGTCTTGAGGCTCTGGTTTTTGGATCGTTCGGGTTGAGGTATGGCATCTAAACATGTGCCAAACTAAGGAGATCTCGGCCAGGACAAAATGCAGCACAGTTATACCTGATGATGCGACAGCAGGGGCAGTTCTGCATTGAGTAGTCGCACGGAGCTAGGCAGCTAGCAGTCGTTGGCTCCAAGGCCCTAACAGGACGCCTCTGCCTGACACAAAACCGCATTGGCACTTGCAGCAGACTCACCGCCGAAGTACTAACATTACAGCTCCTTCCGCCCACTGACAAAGCTTATGAAACCTCGTTACGGGGCGAAACTTGAATCACGGGACTTACAAGTTTTTCACGATGTTATTCGAAGCCTTCACCTTTATGGTAACTTGCCCACAAGTTGCCTCTGCACGCGCTGCCAAGATCCGGACTTCCCTGCCTGAGCCCTGGGATGGCTGCGAACAAGCTCCCGAAGTGAAGGCCGGAGAAAGGCGGCACAAAAACACGGCATTTTTTTCCTCCTACTTAGCAAGGACGAGCCCGGCATTAAGGCTAAGGGTTTTCAGGGCCGGGCTTTGAGGTGTTTTACGGCTGCTTGGGATGTAGGCGCCCTGGAGAGTAGCATCCTGTGGGTGACTATAAGGACACCTCATGAGGCAGCCCTGGTCTCAAGAAACTGCCATACGTTGCCGGCTGCTCAAGCCACGCAAGTCTGCGTAGTTTCTAAAGTTCACAGCCCAAAACAGACCATTCAATTCACAAAAGGCCATAGATGCCACAGCGCATCTTCATCAACCGATCATCACCCCAGTGCTCCGGCTCCTGAACCCAACACTTGGCACCTCAAGCGGGAAGCGCACGTCATCGGCTCTTGAGCTCTCGGCAACCGCAACAGCAACTGGCTCCTGGGATTCAAGTCCCCGACAAGAGCCGTGTCAATTTTGGATCTTGGAATGACAAGAAATTGCAAGCTGGCTCAACATCGCTGGGGTTGTTGGGCAGTTAGATGAGGGCTCTCCATAGCCCCATGCTACTCTACGTAACATCCACCTCATGTCGCAAGCTACAGTATGTGCTCGGATACTTCATTTGTGTAGGCTTTTGCCACGGCTCTGCACAAACATTTGCCCCTGGGGTGCGAACAAGCAAGCAGCAACGTTAAAACAGCCCAGATCGAACCCCTGTCATTCAAGCGCAACATAAGCCCTAATAATTGTAATAATGACAATAAGCAGCATACTGATTATCATAACAATGCTAGTTAGAGGAAGGACTAACTATTTAACAAAATCTAAGAGTCAGAATAACCCAGCACTCTGGAGGTCTCCGGCCTCGATCGTTCGCGAAGCAGGCGCGAAGGTTAGAGGCTCGTCCCCTCAGGGCTCTAAGGACAGCGGCTCGTATTCGAGGCTCTCGTTCGACGCCATCTCTGCGATCCATATGTCTGAAGTATGCACCACTGCCACACAGACTTAGACCTTTTTGTCTGTCCTGAACGTGAGAGCGCTCTCAGGACCTGGCATGAAGACGTGGCATCGACGGCGAACATTCGCCAGAGTGATCCGCTACAAGATTCTTGGAGTTTAGGCTTGCTGTACTGTAAAAGGAACCTTCTTGCTCGATGTTCGGTTCTTTCGGACATCCGCTAGATGGTCCTTCTTTACCACACTCCATGTTTCTCCCTAACCTCAAAGCTTGACTCAAAGCCCTGCAACTGTCCGGTCCGACCTGCTCCGAATAGTGGCATGAAGCGTCGACAGACACCGGATGGGCTGTGAGCCAAACAGCCTAAAGCAGCCACTCCCCTTGCTTAATGCTCAAGAATGAGAAACCGAAAAAGGAGTGGCTTCAATGACGCGCTCTTCAGAATAAACACAGTAGTGCCAATTTCGGACTCGCGGCTGCAGAACTTTCTGTTACCCTGAAAGCTGGAGGACTCTCTTTTTGCACGGCTTGGCGGTGTCGTGGCCTTTTGGGCCACTTTAAGCCTGGAGGCGAGGCGGTGAAGCCCCGGTGGAGTGAGAACAGGCTGGACAGAAACAGGTAACATGGGGAGCACACAAATTAGAATATGCAGGCTTGGGTGATAATTAGAAGATCATTAAAATTAAAGGGGAGGCGATTGTTCAGTCCCCCCATATTGTACTAAAGTGTTTTGGGCTCGGCAAAGATCTGATTTGGATCACTTCGCAGGGGCACAGTGTGGTGCAGCTGTCCATCCAGGTTTCCCCAACTTTGTGAGGACACGGGAATACAAGGGAGCTGCTGAAACAAGCAGCCTGAGACACGACGAGCAAAAGCCGGCGGGCTCTTGTGCAGATCTTAGGAGAAGCTCAGTGCACCAACCAGTTGCGAACTATGCACAGCCTTTCTGACCTTGAAGTCGGCCACTGCAAGCCGCTTCTCGACCACGGCAGGAACATCGATTACAATGTCCCTCAGCCGTAGAAGTGCATTAAAACAATTTCTTCAACCTAGAAGAGAAGTGCGACTATCGATTCCAGGGTTCAAAGGCTGAGCGGAACAGCAGACGCGACTGGCCAGGAAATCGTTGTTAAGCCCAGAACTCCAAACCCGTTACATCCACCATCTGAGGCCCAAAGCCCCAAGATGCCTCAAGCCAATTAGTGGCTACCCGCTAAATACTTAAGTATGCTTTAAGGTTTAGGGTTTAGGGCAGATTTGCTTTTGTGAGGTCGCTCCTCTGTGACATCAGGAGGCAACCCGCAGCAACTTGGGAGGCTCGGCGACCTCCGGCAGGGTAGCTTCTAAGTATCAGGGTAGTCTAAGGATGCTTTGAGAGTACTATAGTTGGGACGCTACAATGAGGGCACGTTGCATTAGAGTAACTTTGATCGTTGTGCTTGCGATTTTTCTCCATCACATTCGACGCATCGGGGTGTCACGGCACAGGGCATTTAAGGAAGAGGCGACTGGCCCCCAGTACTGCACCTCGTAGTTCGATACTTTTTCGTCTTCGTCGCGAGGTCTTTGTATAGACAATGACAGTCATGAAGCACTAGTTGGCATCAGGGGGACCATCAACAAAAACAAAATCATTACCACCTTGATTCCTTGATCCTTGTGAACAGCCCGGCATGCCCAACCCTGTTTTCGTTGTCTGTATCAAACTCACCATGGTCGTCAGCACAATCCTCATCCACGGCATTATCGCAGTAGCTATCTGCATGAGCCTGACCATAATGACCATGATCGACATCTTCATCGCATGGTCCGCACCTATCTTATTCTGGGCCTTGCTGCTGTGTCCTGCTTTGCTCTTCCATTACGATTCTTGCCACCTTTGCTTCGGCCCCTGTACTCCCTCTTTCTGCAACTACTAGTCGCAGTGTTCTCATGCCCAGGAAGTCGTTCGCAGCAACACCTCCCGGCATGTACTGCCGCGGGAGCCATGATCACCGCCCTCTGCCAGATATCAAGCTTGTACTAAGCCTTATACTGATAGTAATAACTAATGAGAAGGAGGAATGGTTGTTGCGGGGTCTTGCAGAAGCCACCATCCTTGCATGCTATCTATTTCCGTTCCACTCAAAACCCCGGCCTCCTCAACAACGGCTTTGGTGGCTTGCTGATCGGGCTCCTCTGCATCCTGCGAGGTTAGAGGCTTTCCGCAGTTTTGGGTCTAGCGTTTCGGTTTTTTCGGGTTCAGGGAGAAGGGTTTGGGCGCCCCGAAGGCTCAGACCTAAGCAGATTCTGCCCTTAAGGTCTCCAAAGAATCCTAATACACTCAGAATTTGCAGAGGGCTTGGGGTTGATATAGAAGCTTCAATAGTTACAATAGGGTTTTGTAGTATTTCTCTCCTGGTTTCTTGGGAGCATCTCGGGAAATTGGAGTCTCAGGGCAGTTCTGCAACAAGAAGAGCTGCCGAAACCCACTTCTACTACTACTCTGCCACTGCTACTACGCTGCTGCTGCTGCTGCTACTACTACTTACTACTACTACTACTACTACTACTACTACTACTACTACTGCTACTACTGCTACTACCGCTACTACCGCTACTACCGCTACTACTGCCACTAGTACTAGTACCAATACTAACACAATTACTAATGCTGCTACTACGACTACGACTACGACTACGACTGCTGCTACTACTACTACTACTACTACTGCTACTACTACTGCTACTACCGCTACTACCGCTACTACTGCCACTAGTACTAGTACCAATGCTAACACAATTACTAATGCTGCTACTACGACTACGACTACGACTACGACTACGACTACGACTGCTACTACGACTACTACTAC